AGATGTCAATTTTTCACCTGCCATTAATTCTACGGTCTCCACCTCATACATTACAGTACAATCACAAGATTCATACACACAATATAATCACAAGATTCATACACACTTCTGAAATGACAAGCCTGCTTTCAGTGGATCCCACTCATCTCTGGGTATGGTAAGTTCTGTTGCATCTTCACCACCGTTGGTCTCATTTAAATTGAATTCACACTTCTGAAAACAATTCATTACTGCCACATATGACACAGCATGATGAGTCCACAGTGAAATGTTGTGCATTCAAAGTATTTACCTTCATAAGTACTTCATGAAGGAACTTCTGATCAATCATAGAAATAGTTTTCTTACAAGTTGACTGCAGTAATGTCTGAATGACCTGATTGTTCATGTTCACTGGAGAGTGACAGTGGAGTTTGGAGGAAAAAACACAACTTTCACATTCTTTAAGTTACTTGCACAGCAACAAAGAGCAGAATCTGTGTTCCGGAACCTCATTTTGGCATCTAATACTCTCACTCATCAGCAAAGCTGGCCTATGTAACAAACGTTTTTCTTATGGCTACATAGTTTGAGGGCAACTTTCTAACATTTTTAAAGCAACAAGGCTTTTCTACCTTCCAATAAATAATGGAGTGACTATGCCATTCCTAACAGCACTGCTGGCAAATAGAACCATTATCCTCTCCTTGGAACTCTTTCCGCCACTTCAAGCATCCCAGTTCAAACTTTATATCCTGTTAGGTGCTGTCAACAATACAGCCTTTCAAACTGCTGAGGGAAAACCTTAATATTGCCTGAATACCTGAAACAAATGTTTTACTTATGGCTACATATTTTGAGGGCAACTTTCTGACATTTTTAAAGCAACACGGCTTTTCAACCTTCCCAATAAATAATGGAGTGCCTATGCCATTCCTAACAGCACTGCTGGCAAATAGAACCATTATCCTCTCCTTGGAACTCTTTCCGCCACTTCAAGCATCCCAGTTCAAACTTTATATCCTGTTAGGTGCTGTCAACAATACAGCCTTTCAAACTGCTGAGGGAAAACCTTAATATTGCCTGAATACCTGAAACAAATGTTTTACTTATGGCTACATATTTTGAGGGCAACTTTCTGACATTTTTAAAGCAACACGGCTTTTCAACCTTCCCAATAAATAATGGAGTGCCTATGCCATTCCTAACAGCACTGCTGGCAAATAGAACCATTATCCTCTCCTTGGAACTCTTTCCGCCACTTCAAGCATCCCAGTTCAAACTTTATATCCTGTTAGGTGCTGTCAACAATACAGCCTTTCAAACTGCTGAGGGAAAACCTTAATATTGCCTGAATACCTGAAACAAATGTTTTACTTATGGCTACATATTTTGAGGGCAACTTTCTGACATTTTTAAAGCAACACGGCTTTTCAACCTTCCCAATAAATAATGGAGTGCCTATGCCATTCCTAACAGCACTGCTGGCAAATAGAACCATTATCCTCTCCTTGGAACTCTTTCCGCCACTTCAAGCATCCCAGTTCAAACTTTATATCCTGTTAGGTGCTGTCAACAATACAGCCTTTCAAACTGCTGAGGGAAAACCTTAATATTGCCTGAATACCTGAAACAAATGTTTTACTTATGGCTACATATTTTGAGGGCAACTTTCTGACATTTTTAAAGCAACACGGCTTTTCAACCTTCCCAATAAATAATGGAGTGCCTATGCCATTCCTAACAGCACTGCTGGCAAATAGAACCATTATCCTCTCCTTGGAACTCTTTCCGCCACTTCAAGCATCCCAGTTCAAACTTTATATCCTGTTAGGTGCTGTCAACAATACAGCCTTTCAAACTGCTGAGGGAAAACCTTAATATTGCCTGAATACCTGTAAAAATCTTCACGATACTGGTTGCGCATATTATGCTGGACAAAGCCATCTAAATGGCATACATCATAAATCCTTCCCATAAGTAATATAAATATTGCAGTCTCTCAATCTTTCTGAGACAAAAACCTTAATATTGCCTGTACGCCTGTATCAATGTTGATTAAACTTAGCACATACACATTATACTACCTGAGGACAACTCCATTACCTACATCATAAATTCCTCTTCTCAGTAGTACCAACACTAGTGTCTCTAACTGAGGTAATACCCTTAATATTACTCAAATGCCTGAACCAATCATCATTAACCTTTAAGAACCCGGCCGTTTAAATTCCAGTAATGGCGGCGGGCCAGAGTTAATTTAAATGCCCGCCATTGTAGAGTAATAAAAATTGTAATCATGTTACTGAAAATTCTATGATTTCTACAATTTTTGTGATAAACGAATGAAATAAACGCTGCTTTTATCTAGAGAGAATATAGAATCAGATATTGTAATTTACAGATTTTAGAATCTGTAAAAATTGTTACACTGATTCAAAACGAATTTTTTCCCCAATTTTGACCGTCTGTCCAGAAAAATGCATAAAGATTCTGCACAAAATGTTTCTGCAGTATAAACGCATGCTGCTGACACACTGTCTGACTATGTCTTATCTGGCAAGAGGAGAGGAAATGTTTATGCTTTTATAGCACTCCGAACTTTCTGTATACAGGAGTGAGGTCACGTACCTCAGAAACTCTGCCTGTGTATATCTGCCACACAAGTACTGTTAACCTTCTTAGAAAGGCCCCCTCATGGACCCTTGCTTCCAACCACTTTCACAGTCTTATGTACCGCATTCTAAATCGGTGACATTTATCAGCTGCCTATTAACTTCGGCTTCTTCCATGCGAAATGGGGCCATGGGGGATAGTTGAAATTGCGATGTTTTATAAGCGTTATGATTAGAGGAGGCAAATCGGCAACACTGGCTGACTTCCTGCTAATACGAGACAGATGTTGCGTGTGTGCGCTTCACATGGAAAACAGAGTTACATACAGACAAAGTGCATGAATTGCAACATCGGACTCTGCATTCAGTTAGATGACACAGGAGGGAACAGTAACATCCACTGTAGCCTCTGAGACTGTGAAGGTAATAAACCTTAATAGTACCTGAATATGTGAACTAATCTTCATGAAATTTGCTGGACCATCTCAATGGTGTAAAAGGTAAAGGTAAAGCTGTTCCTGCAACAGGCCCTGGAGGCCCATAGGGTTCTGAAACCTCGAGGCTCCCACATTTTCTAGAAAATCAGCTCACAGATGTTGGTGAGGTTGTCATCCTTTCGCCCCCAGGAAGATTTGAACTGAAAAATCCAGCGACCTCATCGAGAATTGAACCCACAACCTTCTGGCTTTTAGAATACCTCATAAATCACTCCTATCTGTCACACCACTAATGCAGCTAAGTTTTCTTTCTATTCATATCATCAAATATACAAATTACATTCAAAGGAAAATATGCAATTAGTTCTTCATAGAACTCTTGTTTCTCCTGAAAATAGAATGCTTTCCTCTTCTTTGGTTTGCTCATTGAGACAAAAACACGAATCACAGCTGGAAATAAAACTGGCTGCTGCTTTTATTCACAGTAGATTTATGGAGAAACACATAGTGACTTACTTACTGCATGGAACTTGCAGTCACTTATAATGGGCATCACAAGTCATTCTTCATTACAAATGCTTGAGAAGATAGGAGAAACAGATCCACTCTGTTGGCATGACCCTGAAGCCATAGAATAATTAAGTGTACAGAAGGACACTAGAAGAGAAACAAAACTGTAAAGAAAAATCACTTTTTCTCCACTGATTTCCAATTTAAAGTACTTAACCTTTATCGGACGGCCATTTAAATTCTGGTAGTGGCAGCAGGACGGATTTAATTTAAATGCCCGTCATTGTGGAGTAATAAAAATTGTAATCATGTTACTCAAAATGCTGTTGTTTCTACAATTTTTGCGATAAACGAACGAAATAAACGCTACTTTTATCTAGAAAGTATATAGAATCAGATACTGTAATTTACCGATTTTAGAATCTGTAAAAATTGTTACATTGATTCAAAAAAAAATCCCCAATTTTGAGCGTCTGTCCACAAAAAAGCATAAAGCTTCTGCACAGTATGTTTCTGCAGTATAAATGTATGGTGCTGAAGCACACTCGTGTGTAATCTGGTAATAGGAGAGGATGTTTACGTACTCACATTCTCCAGTCACGTATGCTATCTGTATAACCGAGTGTGGGCGAGCGATTTCTTAACCTACATTAACCGTATGAAACTCTGTTTGTTCTGTTTGTTTATTCACGTATGTCTCACTATCCAGACAGAGGCAGTTCTCGGAATATTACCTCATTCCACTTGCGTCCACGTCCCTTCAGAATAAACTGTAACGCATTCTGAATGGTGTGATTTACGAGCGGCTTCTCGATTTCGAATTCTTCAATGCGAAAAGGGGCCATGGTGCATAGTTGAAATTGCGATGTTTTATAAGCGTTATGAATAGAGGAGACCATTCGCCATCACCGGCCTACTTCCTGCTAATACGAGACTAACATTGCGTGTGCAAGCTTCGCGTGGAAAACAGAGTTAATTACAGACAAAGTGCATGAATTGCAATGTCGGACTCTGCATTCAGTTAGATGCAACATTCAGTTATATGATGCAGGAGGGAAGACAGTCTACTTATAAAGCTGGTTTCCAAAAATATTGTAAGTAGAACAAGAATTTCTATTTTAAAATAAGATTTTAAAACACTATGCGCACACGTGGATTGCGGGTATCCATATGGTAATGCACGGCCACTCGGCTGTACTTTAAATGACGCCGTATGGTGACATTAGTCTGATAAAGGTTAAAACGACAGCGACAAGCCAATTTAAACTCAATTTGGACATATAATTGACAAACTGGGCAGGAAACAAAAACAAATATTGCGGCAAATTTAAAATTGTTCTTACGAAAGTTTTGGCAGAACGAATAAAAATGTGAACAGACTCGAGAACATAGACTCAAGGAATGTAAGCCCCAGGTTCCACTAGTTTATAATGTAAGAAAATAACTTATGAAGGTCTGATGAACAATAGTAAAAATGAGAAATTTTTAATCCTTTATCTGTTACAAATTTGTATACATGAAAATATATCATTACTGCACTTCCTGGTTCTACATCTACTAACTGGGACCGTGTCATCCAAGCACCTAAAAATGGGAAAATATTGTACAAACGATCACACTATAAATGTTACAATGATATTTAAATAAAAACAAATTGTCCACACATGTTAACCATAGTACAGTCCACATGTTCATTTACCTAGAAAATGGTTTCACTCTACCAGCCCAAATTCACCTTGAGCAACAGAGTAAAACCTACATTTCAATTGCTCTCCAATGGATTCTGCCACTGCAAGCTGAGTTTCTGATTATTGGATGGGTGTATGGGTACAACGGCACCTTCAGCTTCTGGAAAACGTTCATGGTACCGTTCCAGGCGCAGATATTTCACAGTTACCAGATTGCCTATAAACAAATTGGTTTAGAAGAATTAATTAGGAAAATAAGCAAATTAATTAAAAACTGATAACTAGACACATACTAAGAACATGCTTAACACTTGCTCCGAAAATATTAGGTATGACCATATAAAATGAAACTGTCAATCTAATGTATCCCATTCATAATAAAACAGACATCCAAGAACATTTCAATTAATATTCCCTTCTAATATGTTCAAACAGGATCTTGTATTGGATGAAGTTAAGCACATAAATCTAAAATAAAGAATATCATTAACAGATATTCAAATAGTTTTTCTCTTGAAAACATACATTATTTTAACATACTGTGACTTGACCACTGAAAGCCAGAATAGTGGAATGAACAGATACAGCCATTGCTGAGCAACAGCACAGTAAACACATGTCCACAGCAATGAACAACACACAACACTATTTTCTATTCGATCCATGCCAAGGCTATATAGAAAGACTGTCATGGAGTCAACAGTCAGGAGTAGTCTAAAGGCTCCCAGAACCATCAGACAGTAAAATATGGTCATGGATTCTGTGGCACTTGCAACCAAGAATCAATGTAATGGCAAGGGCCAGCAATTCAGCAGAGTCAGTAGGAGGTCGGAGTCTGCAGTTAGCAGTGAGCCTTGAGTGGCACTGTTAGAAACCACTGCCTAGCAACAACTAGTGTACAAACAGAAGACTTTACATGCTCTGTAGTTGTAGTGACCTGTAGAGTGTGTAATCAGTGAGACTGTTATTTGTAGTTACAAGATACAAGTGTTCAATAAATCCAATTATCAATACAATGTTAAATTATATTATATAATATATAATTATATAGTATAATGTTAAACTTAAATTAAAATTAAGCAGTGAATAAAAAAGTGCTGCAATACTGACGGACAATAAATAATGGACGTTAACTTGAACAATTGCATTGGGATGCTGAAAAACAGAATCAATACAAATTCTCTGTCCAGTTACTAACATGTGACAACTGGTAAGAAGTGTCACTGGAATGACTGAATTATTGAACTGAAGACTAAATTGAATCGGTTACATCATCACGCTACAAAAATTGAATAAACGATAGAATGGCAGCCAGTGGAAAAGATGCATGTGAGAGTTGGTGAAGCCAGCCACAAGAAGCTAAAAGCCATGTGAGAAAAAATGAGGACAATCAAGGAATGATGGCGGCTGTTCTGAAAAGATGGAGGAAACTCAAGACAACATGAAAGTTTGCGTGGAAGAAATAAAATTGCAATCTGGGCCAACCAAAAAAAGGTGGAGAAAGCAATGAACTCCATTCGATCCGAACTTCAAGAGACCATCACAAACTGACGGGAAAATGTCCTGTTGTCTATCAGCCACTTGATACAGGGCCTCCACAAAAATCCGAACACAAAGAACTGAAGATACAAGGCCACACTCACAGGCAGTCATGATGTCCCTCAACAATTGGGTCAAAAAGAGACCATCACAAACTGAGTGGAAAATGTCCTGTTGTCTATCAGCCACTTGATACAGGGCCTCCACAAAAATCCGAACACAAAGAACTGAAGATACAAGGCCACACTCACAGGCAGTCATGATGTCCCTCAACAATTGGGTCAAAAAGAGACCATCACAGAGTGGAAAATGTCCTGTTGTCTATCAGCCACTTGATACAAGGGCCTCCGCAAAAAACCGAACACAAAGAACTGAAGGTACAAGGCTACACTCACAGGCAGTCATGATGTCCCTCAACAACTGGGTCAAAGAGACCATCACAATCTCAATCTCAATCTCTTAAGGAGAGGCCCACATAGACACTCCCCTGACGCTCATCTTATGCTTCAGTATTTTGTAAAATAAAGCATAAAATTTGTGCTTCAACAAAGTACCACATGTATATAAATGTGACATGACAACAATTCATGTTACCTATCACAACAAAATCAGTTCTGGAGCAAAATAAATATAGGTGAGGAAGTCAGCATGAGAGTTGTGACATCACACATTAAATTTATAAATTTACACACACAGCTTCTGGCATTATTATACTGTAATACCACTGTCATGTGTATCTTTATAAGCATAGAAATAAAACGGAAGGCATGTCCCCCAAGTTCTTGATTAAAATAATGGAAGTATGGCTAATAAACACATGGGTGAGGAGTCTGAGTAAACACTGCACACATAGAACATAGACTACTTAAAGTGAAAACCACAGTGAAAACAGAACAACTGCAATTTCTATTTTTGTACCTAGTTGTGCAGAAGTTAAAACCTTTTACCCAGTAACTTCATGATTGAGGAATGGGTTTCCACAAAAAACTGTTAGTACATACAGCTTCAGAAACACACAACTGATGAGGCTACTCTGTTTGATGAGGCTACTCTGTTATACAGTTTGAAAGAACAAATGCTGCACACCTAGAAGAACAGCAAATATGGAGAAACAATGATGATAAGCAAAAATTGCAATGAGAAGTCAAGAACTAAAAAGTACAAAATATTTATTATCATCTGGCTTTTAACTAGATTTACTACCAGAAAATAAAAATTATGAATGGTGACTGTACCATCATGAAAGTACTAATGCTTTACTTTGCAGAAGATTATGAAAGTGAAGCATGTATACAGAATATGCTAAAGCAAGATCTGCCGCCCCCTCGAGGTAAAAATCTGAAAATCTGTACTGATTTGCGATGAAAAGTAGCTACGTACAGGATACACAAACTTTTTGGCATGATGGACAATTTAAAAACTGGTGCAAAGATATCACACATACTTTCTGGCATACAACTGACCTGGACTGCACTCCTTTTGAAACAAACTGACTGTTGTCTGTTGGCCGTTGATTACATGTACACACTGCATAAGCATTTGGGCCCTTACTGTGCATACCATTATTTTCCTGAAGATATTGCTCATGGTGTTTTATTAAGAGCACTGGTATCATTAATTACTAAAATTTAATCAAAATCACTAGAACCATTTTTTAAAACAATCAATCAAAATGTTGATTTTTTGGGCTCTTATTTTTGGCACTAGAAGGTTCCTATTGACTAGGAACCAACTGATGATAGACATACTCTTAAGAACATAACATGAACACAGTCTGTTGAATTGTTCAGGGACTGACAAGTGGCACGTCCATCTGCAGACATAAGGCATTCCAAAAACCACACTCTCATGTTCCAAAGAGATAAATAGTTTTCAGTACTAATAACCCTGCTAGTTACAACTCCCATCAAACTACAGACACCAGTGCTGTATTGTGGGGGATTTAAATCTCCTGTTTATATATAATAAAAGTAAATCCCTCACTCAGTCTAACAGACACCATGAGTTTATGTTGGCGCTGCTTCACTTCAATTTCAATATTTCTGCCTTCATATGTCAACCAGATGGGGGAGATAAAACCTATTAAGAATCCATGGTACAGCAGTTCCAAATTCTTAGCCACAATGTGCTGGAGAGAAGGGGGTGGGGACACTGTATTCACCAAAAATAAGTCTGTAACCTAACTTGGGTGTGGGAATGTGTAACCATTATCTACTCTGTTGTGACATTAGTCATTTATGGTTTAATCACTCACCTCACCAGATCATTTATACATATGGATTACTGGACAAAAGTTACATTTCCTTGTTCCATAATGTAACACTGTAATCTGGAACTAACCCAAGACACAGTTCACTGCTGTCAGTTTACAATATAGGGAGCAACAGAAATTGTAAAAATAACATTCCTATCAGATTGTTTATAGTTATTGGCAACATGTAAGAGAGTGGTATGATTAACTAGGATCATTCAAATTGGCCAAGAGAAATGGTGTACCTGGGTACGACACGATGAAAGTTGGTTCCTGTATCATGGTGGCAGAAACTTCTGAAACTTGCTCTGTGTCAAATATGACAGCATAGACTCTTTCACACTAAAGGCACAGCAACTCTCCCCAAAACATTATTACATGGTCTGACAATAAAGTTCGCAAATTCAACCTCACTGCTGAACATCACTGTGGTCACCTTTGAAGTACTCACCTTGGGAAGCTATGCACCAGTGCCAGCATCTAGCCTGCCCTTCGAAACAATTTTGGAACTGGTTTTGTTGAAGGCCTTCAGAGCTGCCATCATATTACTCCTGATGTCATCAACATCATCAAAATACCTTCCTTTCAATATTTCCTTTATCTTTTGGAACAGAAAAAAGTCACTGGGGGGCTAGACTTGGTGAATGGGGGGGGGGGGGGGGGGTTCCAGCACAGTTATTTGTTTACTAGCTAAAAACTGCCTCACAGACAGTGTTCTTTAGTGAGCTCCTTTGGGACCATTTCTGCACACACATTCCCCTTGTCAAGATTTTCCTAACCGTTTCTCTGTCAATGCTCGCTTGCTCTGCTATGCTCCTGAGAGTCAGCCAACGATGTTCTCGTTGCTGACCATCCTGATCTCTCTTCATCAGTGACACTTCCTCTTCCCTCAGAAAAAAACGTGTCACCCACTTGTTAACTGCTGTTTTCTTTGTGGCATTATCCCCATAAACTTGCATTAACATCTCTATGATTTCGCTTCCACTCTTGCCAAGTTTAACAAGAAATTTAATGTTTATTTGTTGCTTTAATTCAAGCTCCGATATTCTCACAATGGCACACCAAAACACAGCTGTGAAACGCTGATATGCTGCCTTCCTCAAACCATACTGAGGTTTCTGTCCACTGCTGCCACAGCAAGCACACGGTGAGTTTGCGAACTTTTTTGTCAGACCTCGTATCTACCACTCTACCAATCTAGCACAGTGTGATGCTCAGAAGGCTCTGCAATGGAGCTATGAAAAGTGAAAGTCTCATAATGGTAAAATTTCTCCTCCTCTACAAAAGCTTACTTACTATCAAACCACCAGCCATGAAGCGCTCGATAAGCATGGCCAGCATCTTCTTGGGAGGCACACTTGAGATATACACATCCTTCTCTAGAGGCACTGTCCACAGAAATGTGCAGTGCCACAACACCTTCTTCTGCACATTTCTCCAGTATAGCATCCTGCACCCGGACTGGCCATTCATCTCCAAATTCCCTAAGTTGTGCAAGAAAGAAATGTCTCAACCATGAAATATTAAAAAAAAAAAAAAAAACATCTGCGATATTTTGTGTCTACTTAAGCCTGTTATCAAGAGAGAGAGAGAGAGCATACGAAATGCACACTCATACATACAAGCACTGACACATATGAAAGCCACATAAGTATGGGCAATTCAGTCAATAAAATGACTGACTGTGACTTCAAGGACTAGTCCCATTCCAGACATGCAAGGAATTTTATCTTTGCTCCTACATCCTAACTACCTGTGGGGATCACTCAATCTCATACCAATGGGTCTCTGGGGCTCTGTCCAAAGATAAAGAGCAGTCAATGCATGAAGGTAACTACACACCTACACCTAGTGCTGAGACTAAAAATGCAAGCGGCTTTACCTCCATTCCCCCATACACCTTCAATGCATGGCACTTAAACACAGGGACAACTTTATTCTGTATGTACAGGTGTATTTCAGACCAACTACTCTTGTTTCAATTCAGGTCTTCAACATTTTTTTATTTTAAAACATAAGGTAGGGTGTAGACCCCTTACTGGGTAACAGCCTCAAAACAAACAATGAAAAAACATTCAGTACCAGGCAACAGATTTTTAATAAGCAAGAATATACAGCCATTAATGGATAATACCATTGCAAACAAACATGTTCCAATGGAAACACTTGGGAGTACAACAATGAAAAGTGTTTTTACATAGTCTGCGCCAAGATTTTATAACTGAGACAGGTTTAAAAGTTAGCCAGTTGTAACAGAGTTAGTTGACAGGGAACTGTAAGGTAGTCTGTGAAGAGACGACTTGGTCAGTGCAGTTGGAGAATTCCCACTATTAGAAGCTGTTACCAGGTGAATGACAAGTGAAGACACAGTAGACTTAACAGGTGCTGTAGTGATATGTAAAGTGTAGGAACTAATGACAGTGTTATAGTTATTTGTAGTTATGACCTGTAAGTGGGCAATAAATCTGATCTTGAATCCAAAGCCTACCCCCTACAGTCACACACACACGCACGCGACAATAGTAATTATTCTTGTCTTAAGGAAAAAGAAATAGGCTTAAGATATCACCATGCTCTCTGTGTGTTCCATTACCAGTTCACTGAATTTAAACAGAATGTTGCATGAACATCGTGTCATCTGAGGCCACTTAAGCAACACATCTTACAATTTCCAACACTCCATAATATAAACATAGCAAATGCATGGACACTTTCAAGGAGAGAGCAATATCAGTGCTGGGGTTTGGAATAATGTATAGCTTTAAAATGACACTTCTGTTAATACATTATTCTTCTGAGTAACATACAACACAAACATGGGATTCAAGCAAACATTTTCACTTCCTGTTCAGTCTGACAATTACATCTACCACTAAAACTACCACAGGATGTAGAAGTACAACATATAGTGCAGAAAGATTTCCCCTATCTGGCTACACTATTACTGACAAACAATTATATACAGCAACTGGAAAGATGAAAACATACTGAAACCATGACAAAGGCGGTGGCAGTGGAGCTTGTAGTGGTGGCAGTGGTGGGTGGCAGTGGCAGTGATGGCAATGGTGCTGGTGTATAAATCAGGGTTGAATATTTCCAACAAACATACTTTGTCACCACGGTATTAGTGTGTGTGCAACAGGAGGAATCCTATCAGCCATCAATTTTAACACCAACTACAGCAAAGCTTCTTAATAAAAGGTAAAGCTATCCCTATTAACAGGCCATGAAGGCCAATAGAGTTGTGAGACATCGAGGCTACAGCATTTTCTGTAGACATTCAGCTCACAAATGGCAGTAAGGTTGTCAGCCTTACATACTGATCGCCCTTTACGCACCAGGAACATTCCTGGTACTCATTTCCATTAGAGGATGAGTCAACCCCAGGGCCACAGGGTGGATGGAAGGATTAGGTCAATTGAAAAATTCACCTCCTCAGGACTCGAACCCATGACCTGTTGACTTGTAGCATAGTGCCTCAATCAACTACACAAGCACATCCCCCAGTAAAGCTTCTTCACTCACTCACTCATGGATCTGAGCCCTTCTTCACAAGCTGCCATCTGTGCAACATTCCCAGCATTTTATGGAACCCAAGGGTTCACTACCATGTTCACAAGAGCACTCCAATGGTCCCTATCATGAGCCAGATCAATCCAATCCATACCATCCCATTCTATCTCTCTAAGATCCATTTTAATACTCTCCGCCCACACATCTTTGTCTTCCCAGTGCTCTCTTTCTTTCTGGCTTTCCCACCAATATCCTATATGCATTCCTAGGCCCCCCATTCATGCTACACGCACAGTCCATCTCACCCTCCTTGACTTCATCATTCTAATTATACTTGGAAAAAAGTACAAGTTACAGAGCTCCCCATTATGTAGTCTTCTCCAACCTCCTGTCACTTTGTCTCTATTCAGTCCAAATATTCTCAACACCCTTAGTCTATGTTCCTCCCTTAAAGTCAGAGACCAGGTTTCACACCCATATAGTTTCTATGTTCTAATTTTTTTGTTTTTAGACAGCAGACGAAAAGACAAAAGGTTCTGAACTGAATGGTAGCAAGCATTACCTGAGTTCAATCTCCTAATTTCATCCTTAATCAGGTTTTGATTTGTTACAGTTGTTGCCAAATATCTAAACTGTGCCACGTTCCCATAACATCTGTTACATATCCTTATGTCATAATTTTTCCTTGCATTCTGGTGATAAGACAGCAACATATACTTAGTTTTATCTGTGTTTACTTCTAGACTAACCTCCTTATTAGCGTCAATTAAAGACTATGTGTTTCTCTTTATGGTAAGGCCATGCCATAGCTCAAGCGGCTAGTCACTGGCTTTCCAGCGTGGTGGCCTGGGTTCAATCCCAGGTCTGGTCAAGTGGGATTTGTGGTGGACACAGTGGTGCTGGGGCAGGTTTTCTCCGAGTACTTCGGTTTCCCCTGCCAATCTTCATTCCACCAAATTTTCCATCATTATAATCACCCGGGGCAGGATACAATAGGCCAATCAGTGGCTGCCATGCCAAGTGGACCCAGTTGGACTCCACCCCCCACTAAGTGAATTTAAAAAATTTATTAATTCCCTTTATGGTACCTATAATGACACCCAGCAGATACACATCATCAGCATAGACCAACAGCTGATGTGTCCCATATAATTTCAGTCCCACCTGGTTTCCCTGGACCTTCCTAATGGCATATTCTAAAGAAAAGTTGAAAAGGAGTGGCAATAAAGCATCTCCTTGTTTCAGACCATTCTGGATAAAAACTATCAGACAAATGTTTATCTATACAGAATTTATCATACGTTTCATTTAAACACATTTTAATCAGCCTGACTAGTTTCATGGGTATCCAAAACTCTATCAGAATATTGTACAATACTTCCCTCGTAACTGAATCATAGGCTCCCTTGATGTCTATGAATATCTCATGTACTGTCTCACTGGACTCCCATTTCTTCTCCAATATCTGACGAATGCAAAAGATCTAATCTGTAGTTGATCTGTTATGTCAAAACCCACACTGATATATGAAGCTGATAGCAGTGATAGTACCAAAATAATTACTACAGTCAGTGTTAACACCCTTCTTGTGAACTGGTACAATAATAGACTCCTTCCACTGATCAGGCATTTTATCCTTATGCCAACTAGGGGACCACCCCTTGTCGGCTGTCTGTGACTGCTTATTCAATATATCTGGAGGGTGCCTCTCCGTCCGCAACCTGAGGACACACCATGCCATGGTAACATGGGACCCACCTAACATGGCAGTAAGTTTCTTAAAAAGAATAATTTATCATGGCATGAAAACAAAAAAATGTAAGTTACCTGCAGAAGGATGTGATGCATATAAATTTGAGGTACTCAGGTAAGCAATTTTTTGAGAGAACAAATTTCAGTAACTCATGCGTCAAAGTTCTGGACTGAAACAAATGTAGAATACCTGGGTGTTTTTTAAATCTTGTTCCTTATCAGAAAAGTTTCCAACAGAAACACATCAATAAAGCATTTTAACAACCAGCACAGTAAATAAACCTCATTTAAATTTTTAACACTTACTAAAGCACAAATAACCAAAGTGATTAAGGGCTACGATATGAACTTACAAAATGTTGTAGTTCAAAATGTCATGTCCATGACATGAACTTTCTTAACATATACTCACTCAGCAAGTGTGCACTCCTTCCGTTCCTCATACATCAAAATGATTAAAAGTTCTAAAACATAGCATGCTCAGAAATCAGTGAAATTCCTGGCTTTAACCTCTTCAATAAAATAATCTATATGGCCATTAGTTCTGTACTGCAGTTTTAAACGGCATTAATCTCCAGCATAATGTGAAAAATGATGGCCAATTTTTATATTGTTCAGTAAATCCCCCTTTTGTTCATTTTCAAACTGTAAAAAACTTGCATAATAATCAACATGTCCATGTTTTAATGCATGTCAATTTGTCCCCAGCCATTGTCCACACTCTGAATCAAAGATTTACAATGTGTCAATAGCCTTTCACATGGTGTCTGTACGTCCTGCAGAATTACAGTAACAGACTTCCACCACAGAATCTACAGTTATTTTTACTACATTTAAATTGCAACCTTCTTACTTAATCCAAGATATTCCAAAGAAAACTATAAATGAGATAATCTACGTACAGAGGGTAATGAGAACTGAAATATTAACTTATTATCCTATGCTTGTCCGCTATTTCAAGTTTAAATACATAAATTAACAGCCACTGCGAAAAATGGAAACAGAATTAACAGGACTCACATATCTGGATCAAACATGTGCCTTATTTTGAGGCAAGGGGTTGGAGAACATGGTGGAGAGTTAGGACTTCCACTCATTGTATCAAATGCCTGCCCCTGCCACACCTTGTTGTTGCGACGAGGTGTTGACTGCTCTGATGATATAGCACTGCTAACATCACAACAGCAAAAGTCAGAAACATATTCTCTTAAAATGAATAAATTACACAACCACAAACAATTATCTTTAAAATACCACACACAGCTATCTGTACTGCTTACAGTTACAGGTGATGTGTAAAAATTAAGATCAAGAAGACACGAACATTGATAAAAACAGCAGTTCAAAACAGCCTCTCTAACATCTGTATCACTTACAATGAAAGTGGCATAATAAAGGTTACATGTTGCCTAAACAAGACACACAACTTTTATGAAAAGATACAAATTTTCATGATGATGTTAAGATACAGTTCAATGTTTAAACCATGTTAAAATTCAAGTTACATGAGACTACCCCTCAAAAACCCAAGCCCAGCATCCATGTCATGATCCGCATAATATCTAAAAGGATGACAGACAATGCAATGGTCCACCTAAACCATGGTCTGAGGCATCAGGCCAAGGCCAGTGTGACAATGGCATGGTAATCCACAAGCGTCATAAAACCCCTTGTATATATGCCTGCCACAGGTGCAGGTGCATATCCTCATTATTCTTGCAATCTTTCATAGAAACCAGGGAACAAACAACAGACTGCAGAGACTTAAGATAAAGTACATACTCCCTTGTGGAGAGACTCCTACAAAAAAGAAAACTGTCACTCTTCAGCAGGGGACTGGTACCTCGGGCACACCATAATGAGTGTTTGGGCCACCAGAAAACCAGATGCTGAGGGTTCAGCCCAAGGCAGGGATGAACCAGTTGCAAGACACCTGCCTGCAGTGACCTACAAAATCCTGACCACTTACAGATATTGCACTTCCATGTCTTGTCCGTCTAGAGCGCAGTCACAAGTCTCAAGTGTCTTGCCGACTTATAGTAAGTGATAAGATAACTAACCATATAACTTCCTTATTAAGACCATCATAACACAACTATATTAAGGTCAGTGCCTGGTTTTGGCTCTGCTACATGTTTCTGCCATTAATAGCCATCATCAGGCAAATACATGGCTAACATATATACACCACTGAACTACAGTATTAATAAAATTGGATACAATAATATTAATTGTATTAAAATAATTAACTTAAAAGTACAATAGGTTATATAAAACAAAAGTTATAGTATAAAACAAGAATAAAATTCAACTGATGCTTTACATCATCGAGTCAGTCGTTGGATTTCATGATTTTGTTTAGTTCCTATCGACAAATTAGAGTATTCTATATTTTGTGTATAGAAACCGTTATTGGAGGCTAGTGATCTAAATGTAGTAATATTAATGTTAATTATTTTGTCAGTGCCTCATCTTACAAAGTATTGTCTGTTCTATAGGGAATGTAAAAAAAAAAACTAACCATGTTGCATCTTTGAGGCGACATAATGTAGTAGGATATTTAGTGAATATCTCCTAGCTGAATAGCAACACAGAAGGTGACTGCATCAATGTTACAATATTAGCAAAGACCTTATAGATGCCAATCAGTTAACACATTTTGAAGAAAGAGGTTGCAGATTGGAGAAATCTAGCAAATTTTGAATAGCAAAACTGATGCTTACTCGAAGGAGGAAGAGGAGGATACACACACCTAGCACCATGATCAAACTGAGGGCTGCCTCCTAGAACCAATACAGGTGCCCATGATTTTACAGGACATGACAAGAAGAGCAAAGAACCATTTGCAGGAGTTACCAGACTGCTGGCAGCAGACACACATAACTACCAACAATATTTGGAGAAACTGGGGGATGGACCCTCCCCAATCCATGATGTGACCAAAAGAGGAATGTTCCTTTTTTTCTGCTTTTAAATAACAAATGAGATATGAGACAGATCAACAGTCTATGGTCAGAGCTGGAGCGATCCAGTAAACTATTCAAATCACAGCAGTGATTCCAGGAATTTCTGAAGAGTTCAGACTTTCTAGGTAACACATTATGTGTCAGGGAAAACACTAATATTTCCATCATAAGAAAGATGCATTTTCAATCACTTACAAAAAGTAACACTTCCATTATGTTATGGATAGAATTCCCCTCACAGGAAGTATGGAAGGCAATGTTCTTCTAATTAACAGCCCTCAAAAATGGTTGGACTGAAATTACTTACTTATGCATGGAGCTGAGCCCTTCTGGAGGAGCCACCAATTCTGCAGCTACTCAAGAATTTCCCAACATTTTATGGAACCCGAAGGTTCATTAATATGTTCACAAGAGCCCTCCCCCGGTCCCTATCCTGAGCCAGATCTACCCAATACATACCATCCCATCCTATCTCTCTAGGATACATTTTAATATTGTCCACCCACCTATGCCTTGGTCTTCCAAGTGGTCTCTTTCTTTCTGGCTTTCCCACCAATATCCTATACATATTCCTCCTCTCCCCCATTCGTGCTACATGCCCTGCCCACCTCATCCTCTTTGACTTCATCATTCTAATTATACTTGGAGAAGAGTACAAGTTATGAAGCTGCTCGCTGTGCAGTTTTCTCCATCCTCCTGCCTCTTCAACTCTCTTCGGTCCAAATATTCTCACCACGCTGTTCTCAGGCACCCTCAGTCTATGTTCCTCCCCGAGAGACCAAGTTTCACACCCATACAGAATCAGAGGCAAAATTATAGTTTTATATATTCTAATTTTTGTTTTTGGACAGCAGATGGGAAGACAAAATGTTCTGGACTGAATGGTAACAAGCATTACCAGAGTTCAATTTCCTCTTAATTTCCTCCTGAATTGAATTGTTATTGTTGTTCCCTCATATCTGAACTGTGANACCTCATCCTCTTTGACTTCATCATTCTAATTATACTTGGAGAAGAGTACAAGTTATGAAGCTGCTCGCTGTGCAGTTTTCTCCATCCTCCTGCCTCTTCAACTCTCTTCGGTCCAAATATTCTCACCACGCTGTTCTCAGGCACCCTCAGTCTATGTTCCTCCCCGAGAGACCAAGTTTCACACCCATACAGAATCAGAGGCAAAATTATAGTTTTATATATTCTAATTTTTGTTTTTGGACAGCAGATGGGAAGACAAAATGTTCTGGACTGAATGGTAACAAGCATTACCAGAGTTCAATTTCCTCTTAATTTCCTCCTGAATTGAATTGTTATTGTTGTTCCCTCATATCTGAACTGTGACACAATTTCAAAACATCTGTTTCATATCTTTTATGTCATGATTTTTCCCTGCATTTTGGTGATGAGAGAGCAACATATACTTAGTTTTCTGTGTTTACTTCTAGACCAACCTCCTTACTAGCGTCAATTAAATTTTGTGTGTTTTACTTTACGGTACCTATATTATCACTCAGCAGATTCATACCATTGGCACAGACCAACAACTCATGTGTCCCGTTTAATTTCAGTCCCATCTGGTTTCCCTGGACCTTCCTAGTGGCATATTCTAAAGCAAAGTTGGAAAGGAGTGGCGATAAAGCATCTCCTTGTTTTAGACCATTCTGGATAGGAAATTTATCAGACAAATGTTTACCTATACAGACTTTACTAAATGTTTTGTTTAAAAACATTTTAATCAGCCTGACTATTTTCACGGGTATCCAAAACTCTTATCAGAATATTGTACAATACTTCCCTCCTGACTCATAGGCTTTCTTGAAGTCTATGAATAGCTGATGTACGAGTGGCGTGGCGTTCAAGTTCTAAGGTCTCCAATTTCTTTTCTCAGGACTGGGAGCAGATAGACACATGCGGTTTAGTTTAAAATAAGTGTCCACTCTTTGTGAATGCATGACAGAGATGGCAGCACTGTACGGCACACAGAACTCTAGTGGTGGCAGCGAGAGTGAAGAGTGTTTTTGATACCTAAAATGGCAATGTTTTCGTTACAAGAACAGTGAGTAATCATTCGTTTTCTCCACTTGCGTGGCGCGACACCCATTGAAATTCATCGCCAGTTGAGTGAGACATGTGGTGATGGTGTCATGAATGTGAAAAATATGCGTTCGTGGGTGCGACAGTTCAAAGAAGGCCGAACGTCATGTGACAACGAACCAAAACAATCTCGGTCTCGCACCAGCCGGTCTGACATGGTCGAGCAAGTTGAGAAAGTTGTTTTGGAGGAACGCCGATTGAGTGTGGAAAACATCGCCTCCAAAGGTGGTATTTCCGTGGGAACTGTGCACACAATCCTGCATGAAGACCTGCGAATGCAGAAAGTGTCCTCCAGGTGGGTGCCACAAATGTTGGCGGATGACCACAAGGCTGCGGGCATGGCAATTTGCCAGGCAATGTTGACACGTGATGAAGGCATGAATGGGGCTTTCTTTTCATCAACTGTGACAATGGATGAGACATGGGTGCCGTTTTTCAATCCTGAAACGAAGCGCCAGTCAGCTCAATGGAAGCACACAGACTTACCACCACCAAAAACTTCGGGTAAGAGCCAGTGCTGAAAAAATGATGGTGGCCATGTTTTGGGACAGTGATGGCATAATCCTTACTCATTGCGATCCAAAGGGCACTACGGTGACAGGTGCATCCTACCAAGATGTTTTGAAGAACAAGCTCCTTCCAGCACTGCAAGAAAAACGGCCGGAAAAGGCTGCACGTGCTCTTTCACCGGGACAATTCACCAGCACATCTGGCGTACACAACGCAGCAGTTTCTTCGTGAAAACAAACTTGAAGTGGTTTCTCATGCTCCCTACTCACCTCACCTGGCTCCTATTGATTTTTGGCTTTTCCCAATGATGAAAGACACTCTCCGTGGTCGCACATTCATGAGTCATGCCGCTATTGCATCAACGATTTTCCAGTGGTCAAAACAGACTCCTACAGAAGCGTTCGCAGCAGCCATGGAATCATGGCGTCGACGTTGTGAAAAATGTGTACGACTGCAGGGAGATTACGTTGAAAAGTGACAGAAGTTTCAAATTTTTAGTATGATTATTGTGTAAGAAAAAAAATCGGAGACCTTAGAACTTGAACGCACCATGTACTATCTCACTGTACTCACATTTTCTCCAATATCTGACAAATGCAAAAGATCTGATCTGTAGTTGATCTATAAATCAAAACCCACACTGATGATCCTCAATAATTTAATCTATATATGGACTTAACCTTGAGAGAAGAATATTGGATAAAACTTTGTATTAAAGTGATAGCACCGACATCCCGATAATTACTACAGTCAGTTTTATCACCCTTCTTGTGAACTGGTACAATAATAGACTCCTTCCACTGATCAGGCAATTTTTCCTTATGCCAAATATAAGCAATTAGATTGTGGATCTTAGAACGTAATATTTCGCCTCCTGCTTGAATAAGTTCTGCCGGAATTTGATCACTACCTGGCGATTTATACAGTTTCAATTTTGCAATAGCACTTTCAACCTCAAAAGGGCTAGGATCTGGTATTAAGGGCTCAGCTTTATGGCTTTCTGTCTGCCTAACATCACTGACCCTATGTACATTCAATAACTGAAAGAAGTAGTTCCTCCACCTATTAAAAAGTTGTGGGAATCTGCAAGCAAATCACCATTCTCATCCTTCACTAAGTTACTGCTAGGTTGGTAACCCCTCTTAAAGTCATTTATTCCTCTATACAGGTCTCTAATGTTCTTGTTCTTACTGTTAATTGCAAGCTCATTAATTGTGTCTTTCAGATATTCCCTCTTTTTGTTCCTGAAATGCCTGCTGGTTTCGCGTCTTATATTGGTCAGATTATCCCCATTTATTTTGCATGGATCCTGTAACCATTGCAATTTGGCTTGTTTTCTTTGGTCTAATAATTTTGAGCGTCCTTCATTGAACTATGGCTTATGCTTCTTCAATTCATAACAACCTGGACTCTCCTTGGCAGAAATTTTAATATTCTCTGTAATATTTTCCCAGGCTGTATTAACATCCACATCCCTTACACCCCTTATACATACATTCATTCATTCATTCATTCATTCATTCAACATCCACCTCAGCGTCCAAGTTTTCCACTGCCATGAACCTATTTGAGATTTCAACACGATACTGCTCTTTACCCTCTACCTCATTTAATTTCCTGAGACTGAACCTCTCCGTATGAACTCTGTGCATTGTCTGTTTGCTCACTGCCAGTCTTTCCCTAACCATTGCCACCAACAGGTAGTGGTCAGTATCACAATCTGATGCCCTGAATGATTGGACATCAAGTATACTTGAATGCCGTCTCCTAGCTATCAAAATATGGTCGATTTGATTGTGTATCTTCACACCAGATGTCCAAATAAATTTATGGATGTTATGATGTGGGAACACTGTGCGTTATATTATGCTACAGGCTATACATTAGATAGAAGATGATGTAATCGCCACATGACTCCTTATGAAGCTGATAATTCAGGTTTTTTTCCTTTGTCCAGTTAGGCATGATGCAAGCAGCCTCCATAGTCTAGGGGTAACATTCCCACCTCATGACTCAAGGTATTCGGGTTCAAACCCGGTGGAGGTTGTGGAATTTTTAAGGGCAGAAAAATTCAGGGAACAAGTCCTCCGGGAGGGACTTTAAGCCGTGGGTCCCGTGTCATAGATTTACAGCACGTAAAAGATCCTCATGTCTCTAGGAGACCTCTGAGCAAAATTATTAGGTAAAAAGTTTCCCGCCCAAGTAGTTTCCAATGCCTCCGGTAGATGGGTAAGCATCGGGTACCACAGCCAGCCTCGCTGGCTGAACGGGGCTGATAGTGAGCACCAGTACCAGCAGGGTATGAAGCCTGGTAGAATATTAAAGGGGGACGTACAATACACTATTAGTCGCGGTGCATGGGGAAACCCACCCCCTCC